TCCATCAGGGAACACAAGCTTCTTGATGAGATCAAAGTCATGGAACCCGACCGCGTCGCTGACATAAATGGGCCCACCGCAGATGGATCTCGATCCTGCATGGAATTTCGCGCAGCAGTGATCGGATCGGAACATGTCCCAGTCCGGATGTATGAACTGGCAGATCCATAGACTGTTGTAGGCACAATGGATCATGTGAACTCCTTGTAGCCAATAGGCACCTGTTGGGTCCCCGTTTGGATCGTGAAACCAAAAGTCGTCGCCTACACAGAAGGATCACACTATTCTGTTGAGGGTAAAGAGCTAATATATCTGGTGGAAAACCACAATGGAGACTCAATAGTCTGGAAATAATAACAGGCTTAATGGGTTAAATTATTATATTAAATGTCAGTAAACGTTAGAGGCTGATCTGAGTCTGGGTTCCTATAAAAAGGGTGTTCTTGGTCAGCGTAGTTATACATCACACAGTTTCAACTACATTTAAACTCTTAAGAGGAAAGGTGTGTTTGGTTATGACTTACGAGTAGTTGGGGATCCTTACCGGTTCAACTATAATCAAGACTAAGCACATTTGTTTCGTCGGACGTTTTCTTACACAACAAAGTGTCGTTGGATGAACAAAATGACTAACAAATTAGAATGCATTTGATTAGGAGTAGTTGACTATTTTAGTCGAGTTTCGTTAGGAAAACAGAATGACCTAAAATAGGAGATTTGCATTCTGAAATAGTGTTCTAAACTAGAAGTTGATGCATCTTGAAACTACATAATTTTGAAAATGCAGTTGCAACTGAAACAACTCCCAATCAAACACACCCTAAATTCAAAAGTCTTTGATTTGAAAATTGCCCTCATCATATAAGCGAACAAAAACCTGATTCTTACCTTCAGAATGGTTGGAATTGTCCTGATAGAATTATGCAGCAATTTATTATTGAAAATTTAATTTAATTAGCAGCAAGAAACACTTCTTAAGAAGTCAATCGAATGAAATGTAACCTTCAAATCCCGTCTTTGCATGAATCATGAAAACATGACTCAATCTTTCCTGAAACTTAATTTATCATCTAAAATTTAGATGAGTAAAGGTGTGCTTTAATACAGTGCATTTATGTAAGAAATCGTGCAAAACTTGGTTAGATTTCTGACCTACTCTCCCAAAAGATATCTGCTGAGTGCCAAGAAAGAAGAAGTCATTGCATTGCTGCATACTGCAAACTAGCCCTGTGTTGTTGAAATTTTTAACAAGGGACTTGCTCAATCCTTTGTAATAGGTCTTTGCTAGCTCTACTCGTCCTCCGTATTCTTCACAAATGCATTCAAGGGTCTGAAACAGACAACATGATATAGAAAGTGCATTCTAAATGAGTTCAATACTACACTTCCTATTCTGATGTAACTCGTCATGAAGATTTCGTCGCAACTCATTGTTATGCGACTTATGTCTGGATTTAGTAATTGTGTATTCAGCAATACTTTAGCCTATACCCCTGAAATTACCAAAAAAACTTTTAAAAGGTAGTAAATCCAGGAAAAGTTCTTAAAATATTTGAAAAATGGTAAATGAATCTAATGGAAATGATAACTGGCAATCATAACAAAAAACAGCTTCATTATTAGCTGAAGATATACAGTGTATGACGCGACATGAACAAGGACATATGGCAACTTTTGAATTAGTAGGAGATAACTATGACATGAACATGAAAAAAAAATGATGTATTAGTGAATAATTGACCAGATACGAGTACATGAATGACATTATTTACTTAGAAGCTATATATGAAACAAAAATGTATAGTTTTTATACATGAACCTCTCTTTAAGAGTTTTATTATTCACACTCTAACAAAATTTCCGGCTCTGAATATGTGTTGTGAAAAGTTGAGTTCATATATGATTAATTGTGCGTTTCACGTGTTCAAGCCCCTAACTCTACTTAATGATTGCATGAACAAACCAATACTCAAATAATCTAATTCACTTCATAACAATTCAAGTGATGAAAAAGCTTACATGCATATCGTCCACCTTGACGCCAGTGAGCCCGCTCTCTGAAAGGTAAGAATGCATAGCATCATAAAACTCCTCAGCTTGATTTGGACTGACCAAGCCAATCCCTGATTCGACCATCTTATTCGCCGCCAAATCATCCATCGTGCCATATAAACCCTCCGAAAGCTTTGCATCCACAACTTCGGAATTAAACCCTGTAGCTTTAGGCTTAACTCCTCCCCAAGCTCCACAAAGAGCTTGCCACACATAAATATCCTCCAAATCCGGAAACTTTGTCCTCAAATCCTTTGTAAAAGCTCTCAATCCAAACTTGCATGCGCATTGTTTGTCGTTCTCCTCAATGATCTTGAATTCGTCATCTTCTTCCTCGGTGTACATTTGATCAAGCTCAATCTTTAAACCCTCTACCCTCGCCTTGACACTCGCCAAATCTAAACCCAGCTTATCTTTAGCCTTAATCGCCTTGTCGTGTTCTTTCTCAAGGTCTTCCTTCTCAAGTGCCTTAGAGATCACGTTCTTCAACCTTATGGGGTCGAACTCTGGTGGATTCGGGTCTAACAAAGACCCGGCTCTATACTTCCGGAATTTTTCGCATTCCTCGAACCTGCACAGTCTCCCTAACATCTGCTGCCCACCCAAAATAAGCTTCTCTTCACTCCCATCATCAAACTCAATACTCTGCCAACCATCATCGATAACCAAAAACCGCACCCGAAGCCCGTTATCATAAAACTCCTTAACCCCATACCAAATTCCTTTGGGCTCGACGGAGAGATAAAATGCATCCCAAGTACACCATCCAAACCTCTCGACCACCGGCGGAACCGTCTTCTCTTCCAAAAGCCTACAAGTATCAAGGTGAACCCTGACAGAAGCAAATGCCTCATTCATGACATTAAAAGGGTTATCACCAACATGCACGTAGGCAATGGCCTTGAACCCCGAAGCCCTCACACGGGTGGACCCGCTCTCGGCCCAGATCCAAACCCGATCATCCGGGCCCGGGTGCAAGGCCGACCTGAACGGGCCTTCGATCAAAGGGACGAGGATCGCGTACAGGTTGAGCTCGTGGAGGTGGAAGAGGACCCATTGGGTCTCCGGCTGGATTTCGGAGGCTTTGGACCCGACCCACATCGACGACATCCAGATTTTGAACCTGAAGATGCTCAAGAAGGGGATGCTGGTGAAATGGCCGAGTGGGTTTTTGAGGAGATGGGCTTGATTGGTCTGAGAAAAGCCCAAGAAGCAGCCATTGAGGGGTTGGGATTGGGCTTCGAGGAAGAGGTGAAGAGGGGCTTGAGAGGACTTGCATGCTGAGGAGGAGGAGGAGAGAGTGAGGTTGCTGGGGACTTGAGTGAGGAGAGTGAAGCCACTGATTGAGAGAGTGTTGTTGGAGAGAGAGAAGAGAGAGGAGCTCATGGCTTGGTTGTAAACTTGTAATGAGAGAGATCACTTGGTTTTCTTTTCTTGTTGTGAAGAGGAGAGAAAGAGGGATTTGGATCCTCTCAACTACAAAAAAATAGTGGAGAAACCACTATTTTTAATCTCAAACGTTAATTATTTAGTAAGCGGTTATGATACAATCTAAATCTAACACTTATCATACCCCCGTGTATTGTACTTATTCCTAATTTGCACCAAAAGAAAAAATCATAACCATCAACTAGATAATCAATGGCTGTGATTATGTAGTGGTCCCTCCACTATTTTTTTTTTGTAGTGGAGATGATCCGAATCCGAGAAAGAGTGAAGGGAGTGAAAACCCTAAGTTGACGCGTGGCTCCGGAGGCCATGAGACTCTGGATTGTGACAGCTGTTCGCCGCTTAAACTTCGATGGTGTGGGGGCCCAGAGGAGAGTCGAACGGGAGTGGGTCCCACATGGCATCGCTATATGTTTCAAATTTAAAATACGAGTTTCGCAGTTTTATGCAAGATGGGTATGCAGAGAGAGTTAAGAAGAGATGATGTGCATATCTGTAGGTGATTTTGTTAAGGAAATTAAAAAAAAGGGAAAAGAAAAGAAAATAGATTTTAAGAAGATTTAAAAAAAAATAAACCCCATAAAAATGATTATCATTTTCGATCTATTCTCAAAAGTATTTATCGAAATTGATCTAGTTTTAGTCACCTTAGTCCGTGCATTAAAACTAGGCCGATTTCAAAAAAAAAAAAAAAAAAAATTTACAAACCCCATGCGTCTATTAGTCTTAGATGCTAACCTTAGGATTTGCTTTAAACGGGTGTGGGATCAAATCCCATGTCCTTTGATAATCTCATACCGGATTTTGAAACTTCTTCAACAATAAAAGGAAAAAAAAGTAAATATAAATTAATTTGATAAATGTGAGATTTGAACACTCTACTGTATGATTAGTGACTTTTGCTAATTACACAAGATTGTGAAAACTGTAGAGATTAGTTACCAATTAAACTCTACAGGGTCCCAGTTTCATAGAGCTTGTAAACAATTTTTTTCTTCAAAGTCGATCTAGTTTTAGCGCACGATACTGACGTAACTGAAACTAGATCAATTTTGATAAATACTTTGAGAATAGGTCAAAAATGATAATTATTTTTGTGAAAGGGTTCATTTTAAAAAGTTCTCTAATGTTAACCTCAAAATTTGTAGTACTAATAGTAGTTGCTTGCTCTTTAGATGGTAAAGGGTAAATTCCAAGAAACCCCTTTCATTTGTATCACTATTTTTTATAGAAAACTTTTCATCTAATAAATTCAAAAAACGCATCATTCATTATCAGTACTGAAATTGTAATTTTGCAAACCTTTAGATGTCTTGGTTTTTGCATTCATTGAGGGGGGAAAATAAAAAAAAAATAAAAGTAAAAATTAAGAGGCTTGGGATTTCTTTTACTTCCAATCTGCGGTCCGATCTAATCTTTTTTCTCATCCAAATTTACAGTCTAGAATTTTCAACTGACTTTTCTCGAAAAGGTAGGCTAAATGGCACTTAAAAACCCTATTGTTTCATCACATTTATGCTTATATATTCAAAGTTGTAAAAAGTAGCACTTTAATATTCTAATTGTAAAAATGTAGCATTTTACTACCTTGAGTTGTAGTGTGAGAATATTCCTAGGAATATTCCCGTGTGATTATTACGTGACATTTTTATAATTGTATTAACCCCATTGTTATCATATTTACCGCCATATGCCCACCCTGCATCTTTTTATTAAATTCTATAGAGAGATGTTTTTATCATAACTAGTTTTTACACACGTGCAATGCACGCGATTTAATACCATGATTAAGTATTTTTGGCAGTTTGTGCTCATTTTTTTCTTTAAACTCTTACATCCCGATTATTTTTTTATGTTTGTTTAAATGGGATACACCCAATTTAAATTTTCATGTTGATATTTGAATTGACAAAAAACAAATATAATCTAAAAATAATTTGAATTTTTATATTATTTTTGACCGATATGAAACTAAGCTTTATTTGAGAAAGTATAGCATTGCAAAGTAAAAAATATTAAAATAGTGTTATACAAGGAAGGTGGATATTTAAAACCAATATGGCAAAATGATTGATTTAAAGTATGTTAAAACGATGCAAAAGAGAATATGAAGTTTATTCTTAATCATTGATAGACTTCATAAAAAAATATAAATTAAAGATTAATGCTAACTCTAGTATACTTTTATATGATAAAAACATCCACATAAAAATATAAAAGTACTAAAAAAAATTCATGAAACTCCCTTCTAAAGATTCCTAATTTCACTAAAAATAATTAAATTATTCTATAAAATATTCAGAAAATATTATTTTTTATTTCTTCTATTTTATTTTTTATTGAGTTAAGATCAATCCTTCTTCAGGTTTATCATTTATCATTTCTCGGGCAATTCTAGAGTATTGTCTTCATCATCTACATCAATTGTGATATCAGGCTAATTTTGTATTTTTTTTATGCTATTATCTTTCCTGGGCTCATTAATTTTTTATCATCTCATTTAACTTTACAAAGAAGTCAAATGTACTTATGATGTTCAACACAAACTGCTCAAAATATAGACTTTGATTTTTTTCTATTTCAATGAGAATAAATATTAATTTCATATATATAAAATTCTTTGTGTTCCTAATTTATTACTTAAATAAATTAGAAGCTATCTCTTTATTTTCCTCTAAAATGAATTCTTCTGATGTGCATCCAATAAGAATTTATGTTATTTCAATAATATCACCTTTGCTCTATCCCTGTTATTTTCCATAAAGATCTAAACTAAATACCTGTATTATTCATTACCAATTTCTCTTAGATTATAACATTAATATTTAATTTGAATAACACAGTATGGAATTTATGAATACTTACTAATTTTTCTTATGTCTTCCATGGAGATTTTTTCTTTGATAAGGATAAAGTTATTAAATTATTTTTTAATGTAACTCATACAGTGCTTCATTAATAGATATGTCTTATGTTAATGCCAATTCAAGTGATTCATTGACGTTTTCTGAATTTTAGATTTATTTCCATCACTACTTTCCCATTTGCAATGGAAATAACTCAATTCTTTTAAAGTTATCTCTAAATATTCTAATAGTTTCTCCATATGTAATTCCTTGTATTCTTTTACCCTATAAATATTATTAACGTCAAAGATTAAAGTTTCTAAATTAAAATCAATTAATGCTAAGGTATAATATTATAGTGTTTTATCATTTCTATGGATTTAAACATCTATCAATTAATGTTACAAATGTATTTTAGCTACCCTAACATATTACTAAAATTATATGAAATTATTTTAATTTATATAGTGCCGATAATTTTTAATCTATAATATTTTTAAAAATTGTATCCCTTAACTGGATGTTTTTAATCAATTCTTATTATTTTTGTTTACCAGTATCAATTTAGACTATTCTTAGATGCTGAAAATGGATAGTAAATCCCTAAATTAGAAATTAGATATATATATATATGTATATAAATATATATATATATATATATATATATATATATATATATATATATATATATATATATATATATATATATATATATATATATATATATATGAAATTACTAAACAGATTACACTTTTCTTTGCCAAATTTAAAATTTTAGACCATTTTTGTGGTTTTGAACTTTGAGGGTGTGATTTGTAATTTTGAAAGAGTTTTTAAAAATTTACTTTTAAGTTTGGTAGTTGTAAATTCTATGTTTCGATGTGTTGGTGGTAATTTTTAATGTTAGTATATTCTTGTAACTCTAAAATTTTGAGGGTGCCTTTTGCAATTAGTAAAACTATAAATTAATTTTAAAAAATATTTAAATTTCAGCGGTCTACCAATCATGACGAATTTGATGTGTGCTAGTTAAAAATTTTGAAAATTTCGAGTTTTTTACGAATTTTAAATTTTGAAGGAGTTTTTTAAAAAATTTGAGCGGCAAATTTTAATTTTTTAGGTGTCGAAGGGTAATATCTTGAATTCATCTTATGTTATTTACAAATTTATATAGTATATATATTAGTTTTTTATTCTTTTCTCTCCTCCTCTTCATTTTCACAGCCCCCTCACCCTCTCTCTCTCTCTCTTCCTTCGTTCTCTCCCTCTCCAAAACTCACTTTTTTATTTCTTTTCTCTCCTCTCCTCTTCGTTTTCACGGTGCCCTCGCCCTCTCTCTTCTTCCTCTCGTTCTCTCCCTCTCTCAAAACTCACCGCCACCAATGCATCCCCGCCAATACCGCCTCCCCTTACTGTTGGCCTCTTTGGTTTTGATGAGTGTTTACAAACTAATTTACATCTAATATTGTTTGTCTAGTGTTTGTGTTTTGGTATTAATTGTATACAACCAATAAGTTGGATAGTGTAGCTTTTTATAATTTAAACTTTTGAAGGTGTTTCTATAATTTTTAAGATATTGAGGGTGTTAATTAAAAATTTTAAATTTAAATGTCAAAAATTTTAGGTGTATCATGGTAATATTTTGAATTCATCTGTGTTGTTTGTAAGTTTTAAAATTTTAGAATTTTAATGTACTTGTCTGTAATTTAAATTTTTGAGGGTGTTTCTATAATTTTTGAGACATTGAGGTGTTAACTGTAAATTTTAAATTCTTTGCAAACTGATGTTAATTTTTTAATTTCATGTTTTTTATTTTAAGTTTTGAGACATTAGGATGATTTTTATAATTTTGAACTTCTGATTTTAATTTTTTAATTTTGTTTTTTTTATTTTAAGTTTTGAGACATTGGGATGATTTTTATAATTTTGAACTTTTCAGGGTCTTTTCTGTAATTTTAAAACTTTTTATGGTTTTTTACAATACTTCATGTATTATAATATGTTATTTACTTGTAATTTCTTTATCTTAACAAGCTAATATCATTTTTATGTTTTATATATTTTATTAATATTAGTTTTTTTAAATTGTTAAGCTAAACATGGTTCACATAGGATTAGGATAAGATATGATTATGATTAGGATAGATTAAGATATAAATAAAATATTCAAAATAGTGAAGGGTAATATTGACCATTAAAAATTAGAATTTGATTATAGATAAGGTAGTTTAAACTATAAAGGGGTATATTTGTCTAAAAAAGATTTTTCGAACTCGTGCTTTTAAAGGGAGTATGATAAGTTTTGTTTTTAAACGTCTTTACCATATTCTAACGGTGGACAACTTAGGGAATTTATGTGCTACTTTTTAAAACTTAACGGTATTTTAGTGTAAAGGTAATGATATTTAAGTGCCCTTGAAGATATATGGATTCAAATGAAATCATATATGTAAAAGCTCCCCAGTGATATTATTCGAAGTTGTCCAGAAAAATCTCGTTTCCTATCCTTGTTAAGTCCTCATTACACAGGCATAATTTTCCACCACGTCCCATCAAAATCACCAATGCACGAGTTCACCAATCAAAAAGATCATTTGTAAATTGGATCGTAACGTCGCTCATCAACCATACAAATAACCGCAGATCGATAATAAAAGGAAAGCAAATTAGATAAAACAATCATAGAGACGCAGAGCTTCAACAAGGATTCACAACCAATGTGAGATCACCTACGTCTTTGGAGTACGACTAAGTTACAATTCCAATAACAACGCGCATACTATGCGCATTTACAAATTACAACATATGATAGAACAAATTACAACATATGATTTCTATCCGAGTCCCAAAAATACAAAGAATATCCTCATCATGCAACCATATACGAAAATACCTCGAGAGCGCCCGCAATCAACCATATACGAAAATACATCGGGAGGCCCCGCAATCGGGATGCAGTTCCTAATTCTTGTGGTACCAGTGATATGTATTCTCTACGTAAAGTAGTCGCCACAAAACAAACCCAATACATATTTCAAATACTATTCTTGACCAGCCCAAGATGCATGACTGTGACAGGTGTCATTATTTTTTTTTCCCCCTCAAGTAGGTTTAAGTACAACATATCTCAACACAGAATGTTCTATCCTATGATTTATACAATAAATCAATCCTTCAGTCAGGACTCTTAACGGTATTTTTACACCTGTAAACATTTGAGAACTACCAAATACATCCCACCTGATATCCAACAACAAATCCCACTGCAGGTGGTATTATACACATACAATTTGTATAGCTTATGCCCTCAATTCTCTCTCTCTCTTTTTTCCCCTCGTGTTATTAACCATCCAATTCAACAATTCCTTTGGCAAATAGTGCAAAGCTCTACCTGCAATTAACCCAAATTCAATCCTGAAACATATTTAAAAGCTGAGTTTGGCTCCTCCAAGACAAATGAACAGTATACCCTGCTACATTTCTCAAGTATCTACAGAACCGAGCAATTTACAGCCAACGATGGAACAAATCCTGCTCCTGAGCAGGTGAAGAGTTAATTTGCCATCTGACGCATTAAGCACGCAAACTGATCAAAGCACTGGCAAGCTGATGCCGCTTTACTCCTTAGCATTTGGTTTAACAGCACTTTGTTCAGCATCTCCATGAGCAAAACGTTGCAACTGAGACTGAACCATGTACTGCCTCTGCAGATCTTTGAACCGTTCGAGTATTTCTTGGAATGATGGCCGGCATTGTGGATCACTGATTGTAGGATGAAATTTTACCATGAATTTTCTTTTGTATAATAGGAGATAGAAGGCAGCTAGTTTGGAAATGTGGTTGGGGTAGTACTGACCTATGCCAACAACTCTCTATGATCGAGACCCACTTTGGATCCAAGTCTCTCGGGAGCTCCAACCTCTTGTTCATAAAACCTACTGCTCCGATCACCTGGACTTGCAAGATCCATGATAAGCTCAGTTTTTGTAAAAATAAAAAATAAAAATATCATCTTCTATTTGGTTTGACTGTAACCATAACGTGCCTTAGCCACTCTTCTTAAAAACTCATGTTATCATATTAAAAGGCGAGGCAAGTTGGCATAAATTCTCTGAACTCTAGGGTTATATGGCTTGGACTGTATACACATATTCATTAGGCAAATAAAAGAAAGAATGTAATTAAATTAAGATAACATAATTAAAATTACGATTTTCTAAAGATCAGGGAATAATGATTTCAAGGATGAAATATACATGGAATCTAAGATCCACAAGTAATATGTGATGGCAATGTTTTATCTTCTTTTTCTTTGAGATGTGTATGTGGCAACCAAGATCCTCAATAAGATTATGTAATGATTGGAAAACTAAGTGAAGAAGAAGTGGATTAAGTAGTATTTGCTCTCCCATGTTGTATTAAAGTAGAAGATTCAGAAACTAGCCTTTCATTGAAGGGCTTTTTCGTAGAAACCATCTTTAAAATAAATAGGGTGCAATACGAGAATCACCTTTAAAGTTCAATTAACACAGATACCACCTTTAAAGGGGTTCCGGTAGTAATCAACACGAACCACCTTGACCCCTTTTCTGGTGAAGTTTCGATTGAAACCCTCAAGTACACATATTTCAACCTTTTGTTTGCATATTAAAACATTTAAAGGTCAATGTGGTTGATTGCTACAGGAACTTCTTTAGGGTAGTTTATGCATCAATTTAATTTTAAAGGAGGTTTTTATATTGCCACCCTACTTTAAAAGTGGTTTTCTATGAAAAAAAACCTTTATTAAAATATCCCACACGCTAGCTTGTACACAACATTCACTTTAGCAAAAAGCAATTTGAAAGAATGGAAAAAGGGAGAACCTGCATTGAGTTGAGATTATCCCAAGGTATCTTCTCAGTGACAATCTCCCATAGTATTACTCCATAGCTGTACACATCAGACCTGTTACAAAAATGCACAAGTTCAACATTTTTTCATCTCTTACAGAGTCAGAACCCACACAAAGCATAACAAACAAAAGTGTGACAATATATTAAAATAGTGGGACCAAACTTACTTCTCATCTGCCACCTCATTGCGAAGAACTTCTGGAGCCATCCATTGTGGCTATGAAACAAGAAAATATGACAATCAGCATCAACTACTTGAATTCATATACATATATTCTCAAGCCAACCAAATGCACAAACATGCAAACTAATCTACAAGAGCCAACTGGTAAGTCAAAGCATTAAATTCCAAAAAGCATTGAGTGTGTCAATACCGTTCCTTTCCCAGTATTTGTAGTCACATATGTTTCATGCTTTAAACGGGAAAAGACCAGAAATCTCCAACGCTGCTAAGTGTGGGGGGTTGGGGGGGGGGGGGGAGGAGAGATATAGATAGAATAGTTCACGCCAACAATTTTGATGACTTTAAATTTGAGTCAATAAATGAGGTCAACTTTTGTTGAAACAAAAAAAACACACCTTAACTGTCCAGTTCTTATCCACCAACAAATTTGATGACTTTAAATCACGATGAATGATCGGTGGATTGCAGTGATGCAGATAGTTCATGCCCCTCGCCTGTGACAATAATCACTGTTTGAGAAACAGCAGTAAATGAAAACTTGATATAACCAAGAAGAATGCTTTTCAAGGAGAGCACCAGTGCTATATTTTTTTCAGCAAAATAATAACATTGGCTGTAACACAATAAGTTGCAAAGATGACCAGGAGAAAAGAAAAGGGGAAAAAAACACAAGTTGCAATAAGAATATCATATTCTAAGAATTTCAAACGTCACACACGTGGGCATTACTTCTTCTCCCCACCTACCACCTATCCATGTAATGGTACTAGTCACTTCAGCACAAGATTCATCAATACCAAATTTCGCTCATTTATTTAGATAAGCAAAAAGATACAAATATATAGCAAGATAGACATTATCTAGCTGTTACATTTAAACATAAAATCGAGGAAATTGAAACAACTCTAAACTTTTGTGGATCTATCATAATACAGTATGTTTTGTTACACCCTATACATGGAAACAAGTGTAGTCTGATATACTTACAATATCCATTGCCATATGAATTCGTCTTCTCCAGTCAACTTTAGTTGTGTTCCTTTGAAGCAACCGAAACAAACTCCCACTGCACAGGAGAATATCAGTAAAAGAGGAACAAAGCAGCAACAATATCACCAGTGAACCACAATTATTGATGCATAAACATCATGTTTTGAAATTGCCGCTGCTATCACACACAGATACACGTTTAAATAGACTTCTATCTCCAATAGCAAACCATCTAACACAAAAAGATTCTAAATAGTCACAACCATAAGCGTGATCATGATAACTGATGGATGGAAAAACTTCCATTCTCACAGGGGTACACATAACTTTCTTTTAACTTCGTAATTTTTAACTAACACAAGGTGGAAATGCTGTAAGACTATAGTTTCCAATTCATATCTATCCATCGATGTGATTATGGTATTTAAAGAGCTAATTTTGAACCATCTGATTCTGGGTGCTCTGCTTAATTTTTTAAATAGGATAATCCATGTTCTACCTCTTTCTAAGTAATCTTCCAGACCAAATTGGTTGTGTATCTTAATTTTACCAGAAACATTTGTTTACTTCTTTAACTTTAAAGCCACCTAAAAGGCATGCCAAGATCCTATAGTAAAAACTATATTTGTAGTAGCAAGGTAAAGGAATATATTCACTATTTAAATTACATTATCACTTTTATCATGGAAATGTATACGTGTTAGACATATATCAGATGAACAATTTTTGAACACCTCAGATGGATAGTAGGCGCCCCCTAGATATCCTTAGCTTTTCTTTCCATGCATATACTCATATAAATCTTTCAAAAGAATTTTGTAAATGTAATGTATGGCATAGGGATGCAGAGCATACCGTGGAAGAAACTCGGTTACAATGCAAAGTCGCTGCGGAGAAGTAACCGCACCCATGAAAAGTAGTATATTTGGATGTCGAAGCTTCTTCATGAGTGATACCTGCATAAATATAACAGTATGATGCATGCAACTAGCTATATCGTTTTCAATATTATAGCATAATACTCGGGAGTGATTCCGCCAACAGCTGATGCAAGATTTACCTAGCATACAAGGGAAGGGTATTTTATAAATGTCCTTTGGATTTTGAAAAGCTGCATAGCAAGTTTTTTTATAATCCCGTTGTGCCAGAATTATTATTTTTTCTCTGAGTCACAAAGTACTTGTTCGGTATTGAAACATAAAATTTCCCCTGAAGACAACACATGAACACAATACTTGAGAATAAAACCAACATCGATACCTGTCATGAATGCAAGTGACTCAGAACTAGCCTATGTTTGGAAATGAGTAGGTGTAATATCAGAGCAAACATTCTCCTTTCTGATATGCACACGTTCAAATTTCGTACCGTCCACCAGCCTTGAACTACGTCAACACTACAATCTAAGCTAGAATTAGATATTCACTATACAGCATGATATGGACTATCATCAATCTGAGATTCTATATAAAGATGGCACAATGTATAACTTGATCCCTACATATGGTACAGCTATAAAGCACACAGATACTAAATCCAGAACAGATGCAACTTTTGGCTTTTCATACTACCTCTTGCCTAAAGGTAAGTATGACTTCATCTGAATATTCCAGCTTTGAGAATACTTTAACTGCAACATCCTGCTAGAAAACAACAAACAATTAGCTTCATAATGAAAGAATATTCCTACTCTGATATATGAAACATATCTAGAATCAACCAAAACCTCCATAGCATTTAACATAACTAATCCCAAAAAGAAAAGAAGAAGAAAAAAAGAGGAGAAAGCAGAGAGCTGAATACAAGATTTTCTTCCTTTTTTTCTTCTTTAAATGACAACATGAAATTTCACAGGAGATAGATACTGGAATATTTGAAGAAATGGATGAAGACCTTAATAGCTGAAAGCAACTGCATATTGCACAAAATATGATAATGTGCATTGCAAAAATCCTCAAACAAAGCTTCATGTTTTGCAACATAGAGGTAACGAATTAACATACCGAGCCATACCATAACGCATGATATACAGTTCCACAAGAACCTGCACAAGCAAAAAGAAAACCAGAGTAAATTAAAAAAATTGCAAGGAACATCTAAAAAAGCTGGGAAGTAGATAATTAATATAGAAAGATGTGAACAAAAACAATTCTGGAAACAACTTTAACCATCTAAACCTGGGAACTAATCTATTATTGATGAAGGATCTAGCCTGCAACATCCTCCAACAACAAAGTGTTCACACAAAATTTCGGGTCAGATAAATAAATCCTCCATCACTTCAGCTCTAGTAGTGACCATGTCCAATGTCAGAATCTAATGCACCACACAGGAAATAATTATGCGCTAATTAATAAATATAAGCACATATCCATTTTGTAGACCATTTTGCAAGATGAGGCTGACAATATTTTTTTACAAGATAGATGGGCAAAAATTGCGAAAATATAAGCCTTAAAAATAATGTATCATGTAAAATTAAGACAGCAACTTTTGAAAAGCAGAAAACAGCTTTCAAAAAGATGCACAAAAGTGATTTGACAGGATTTTTTTCCACTTATCCAATTAAATAAGCCTAGAGAGAAGAATTTGGAAATTATCCCTGTGATGTCAGCACCATAACAAGAACAAATATGGTTTATGAACCTAAACATTATGAACCAGATAAAAGCAAACCAGACTTTGACAAGGACAAGTGTATGAAGAGGAAAGTTGGTAAAATATACGAGTTGTGATACGGAGGTACACGTTCAGCTTATATATTAGAAAAACACAACTTTCTTCTCCATGTTGGAAAAGGGTAGAAGGGACCCACATATATATATTAAAAAAGAGAACAGATATGCTTAGGAAGGAAACCAAATGCACCACAAATTAGTTTAAATGTAATTAAAGCAAAAGAAATACTTCTTCTTAAACCAGATACTCAATAGGAGGCCATCTATATAGTATAGTTAAGGAACCTCTGTGAACAGCTAACTTGATAGGAATAGACATAACATAACAGATCATACCAGCACAGGTGACTGAAACCAGAGAACCTTTCAGGAAGAGTAAAGTAATAGCAAGAAAAATAATAGTGTACTTCCAATGTTATGATATTAAAAAAATGAAAAAGAAATATACTAAAAAAATTTATTTTAGTAAAGGAGAAGTACCTTGACCTATTTGCTCACAAATTGTCAGGTCCTCCCATAAGATCTCATAATCTAAGCAGTCAGTCTCTATATCCATTTTGTGAGTGGTACTGCCACTAGTGGTGCTTCCGCTACTACTTACACTGCCTGTGCTGTTAGCATTATAAGATGACCAGGACCCTGAAGCCTCATTGTTTCCTGGCCGATTGCTTTCATTGACCTGACTGTCTGGTTTACCATTAGATTCAGAAGCCCTTGGTTGACTTGCATCACATTCTTGCTCCACTGAACGATTCCTTGCATCAGGTCCATCATGTTCATTATATTTTCTAGGCCACGATAACCCCTTCTTGGCAATCCAGGCCTCTGCTTTCAAGCCAATGATCTTGTGAATTCCTGCCTTTCCCTCAGGATCCCCTTTATCTTTGATTATGTTTACGGGATATCTTTTTTCATTGGATGCAGAGGAAGACTCGCCAAAGGCACTTGATGTTGCATCTTCCTTATGCTCTAGTGTTGTTCCAAGCTCAGAATGTTGGTTATCTCCACTTACACCATCATTGTTCATATTCTCATTTGTCCTTATTCGAGAACGGACCTCGTTAGTGACCTTAGTGGCTTGTGTTTTCACCTTAGTTGCCTGTGATGGTAATAACAGAAACCAACGCTGAATATCACTAGAAAACATATCTTTGGAGTTTAAAGCCTTCCAAAGTTTGCTCCAATTTTTTAACTTTGATACCCCAAAACTTTTTTTCCCAAAAAAAATGCCCCAAAGTTCTACAAAATTTAACTTTCATACCCCAAACTTTAACAATAATTTAACTTTGAGACTCCAATTTCAACAATATTTAGCTTTGATACCCTAAACTTTAACAAAAAGTTAACAAAAAATTCCGGTTTTGGGTATCAGAGTAAAAGTTTGTTGAATTTTGGGGTATTTTTTGGGCAAAACAAAACTTTGTGGTATCAAAGTTAAATTTTGTTGGTATTGGGGTATTCTGGAGGTAAAATAAAATTTTGGGGTATCAAAGTTAAAAATAATGCAAACTTTGGGTTATTGAAGTGCAAATAACCACTTAACTCACCAGATTTGATAGTTTGGAGGCAATGGCAACTTGGAGAGGTTGCTGAGAATCTGAAATGCCTTTACTTGTTAACAGGATTCTAGCGCTGTTAGAGTCAGCTGCCATTGGCTTCTTGCAGCAGGAACAAGTTGCCACTTCCTGGAAGTACCGTGAATCGCTTGATACACATATGATTCCAACCAAACTACCATCATCGTCATAGAAAGGACTGTTTGTGGCAATCGCTAGAAACCGCTCCCCTGATTTGTTCTTTACAGGAAATTTTCCTGTCCAGCTTTCCCCCATGGTTGTGCGATGGAAAATATTATTTGCAATTTCAAAGTCACTAGAATCTATAAGCAGTCCAATGGCATCCTGACCAAGGGCTTCTGAAGGTGAAAACCCATAAAGATTCTCCGCAGACCGGTTCCTACACGAACGACCATTCACATTTAATGACTATACATAATCCGAAACCAACTAAATCTGTAAATGAATCAAATGATAAAATCAGATAACTTCCAATACTCTGCGAGTGTTTGTCTTACGGAAACATCCTAACACCCAATTACCAGTTATGACATCACATAGCAACTAACTTTATTATTCAATATGCAGCCACCGAATTGAGATGGATTTCCAAACCTCATTAAATAAATAGCAAACGCAGAATCATTACCATAGTACCAGTATTTACAAACATTTCCAGTGCCATAAATCCTCCTGTAGTTAGAAAATGATGGCCACAACACCAGAAATTAGAACAAGGCCATTTCATTGAACATTCCAAAATGCCTACCTCGCCCAAAAGAAACAAACGAAACATCACTGTCAATTCACCACTATCCCACCAAGATTAAGTATTATGATCAATAACCCTCATTCAACTTTCTCGTGTATTCGTCTAAAGGAGAACTTATCCCACAAAGCATCCAAATTTTTTTAAAGTATTCAGAGTGAAGTGCCTTTGAATTTTACTAACTAAAGAAAATAGATACGAAATATACATGAAGAGAAAGGAATAGGAAGGGGAGAAGTACATTAGGAGAAGGAAAGAGGAAGAGTTAGAAGAAGGGGGAAAAAACAAGCTAATCAAAATTTCTATTAGGATGTTACCCCAAATGAGGATAGAATGAGAGAGAATAGTCCGAGGTGGTTTGGTCATAATGTACAACGGATACATCTTAGTACACCGAATAGATAAAGTGTAATATTGTAGTTAATGAGACAAAAAGAGATCTAGAGATAGACCTAAAAGAACTTGGTTGGAAGCAATTAAGAAGGATATGATAATGGTTAACTTAATGGAGGAGATGACCCCATAATAGAACGGAATGAAAGAATAGGATTCATGTAGTCGACCCCAAACATTTACGATAAAGGCCTTGTTGTTGTTGTATGATGCCCCGCTCTGGTTCGGCCGCACGCTCCCTCGTATCGTGATGTTGTCGTACCAGAATGAAGATGATCATATAATCAGATGACCGACGTGCGTCTGCGTCTCTGACTTTTATTTCGAAAAAGTCTCTCATTTCACTCATTCCAAACGCAGAAGCATCACGCAACAACAACGCAAAAACCAAAATCAAACAAAATACCCACTTCACCAAAAAACCAAAATCAAACAAAAGAAACACCGTTCACACAGAAACAACCATCGCCAAGATCAGTTCACAAACCCGACCTCTTATGGAGCTACCCAAAATATTTAGCTCAAAACCACAAGAAAATTAGCAAAAAAAATCACAATTAAGCATCCGCTTAGCCACTAATCAACCTCACTAATGCACTTGCCGACAAAACAAACAAAATCCCATTAAGCTGAGCTCACCAGTAAATAATCCTGCCATCGAGATCAAATATGTGAACAGACTGCCCCATCGACTGCAATATATTCAGATACTGCCGCTCCGACAGCCGGAACGTCTGGCTTCCCCCGTCGCCAAGTGCCGGCATCGCGGATGGCAGGGGCGCACGAGGAGGCGACGCCGGCGGCATCAGACTCGAGATCTCCTGCTTCAGCTTCGCGTGGCCCGCTTCAAGATCCTGGATCTTCTTCAGGAGCTCCTCAGGTGGAGGAGTCTCCATTGATGCTTAGGGTTTGGGGCCCTCTCGCTCTAGTTTTGATCCATTTTCGTGAGTTTTGAGGTCAAAGGTGACTTTTTTATTTTAAAGGTGTTCTGTCCGATCTCACTGTAGCTGAAGAGGACGAACACTAGGGTTTTTATATGCAAAGATTTGGAGCCACGCTTTTAAACTTTTTTCACTTTTTTTTTTACTTTTTACGAAAAGAAAAAGAAATGGTGAGGAGAGATTACAAGTATGATCGCCATTTTAACTCCACCTGTGCAAGCTTGCATCCATAATTAAACATTATTAATATTTTTTAAAAAAAAATTTAATGTCTTTTTGTATAGATCACTTTCTTTTCGGGTTATGGTAACTTGATTTGTAAAAATAAAGAGTTAAACTTAGGATAAATTACACTAAGCCACAACTTTCAGCCTTATGCTAAAAACACCCAATAACTTCTAAAACCACACAAATTTCTCTATAACTATTGGATCGGCAAAAAATTCTCCAATAAATTTTCAGATTTGCAGGTAACTCTATGTTGGCGTCGGTCCATGATCTAAATGTATCACTAAATCAAAACGTGGAGTGACGCCGTCATGGGGGTTATCTACAAATCACGAAAACTTATTTCGGGCTTTCTGCAATTCCAACATTTATTGGGGTTTAGTGTGATTCTATACGTTATTGAGGGTTTACCGCAAAGTGTTGAGAGTTCTTTGAGGTTTTGTAATTTACCCTTAAATTTATTTAATATGCTAAATTTTTGTTTAAGAAAATGTTTTGGTCGTTAGTAAAGGTTATTCATATTTATAATATTTTGTCTTTTCATTTTTGAATTTAGCTATTTGATAAAAAAAAATATGTCACCTATTTGATCTTCTGAACAACCTGAAAATCACAAAAAACACAAGTTTATTGGCTTATATATGTTATATATCAATTTATGAATTTGTTCATTACGGATTGAATTTAAAATTAATGGATTAGTTTGATGCCTAAAAAATAAAGTTTTTACAGTGGATTAAGGCGTTAAAGATTATAGTAAAACTATCATTAGTTGTATTAAAGAGATGATGCGTGAGAGATGGATGCATCATGCATCCTCTACAGCTCATACAGAACTCGTGAAATTTTTTCTTTAAAGAAAAATATTTTGGCCTTTGGCTTGTGTTGCATGCTTTGCTTGGGACCAGCGGGCATATGCACTGTATCTTGTGCTGCTTTATGATCTATTTGGCAAGTTACCCATGACTCTTCCTTTGAGTTTTAAATGGAAAAATACTAGTGAGATGTAGATGGTTGCTTTTATCATCATTATCTATTTATTTCCTTCTCTTTTTGACTTTTACCCTCAACCTTATCTTTCGGAGATCACTGGGTACATGCATTTGCATATGTTAAAACACTTGGATTGAAATTTTCATAGTAGAAATTTGAAGTTGCTCCATTGATGGGAAGTTTGGTTCACTAGTTATAAAGAATATGATTAGGAAAATAGTGTTTTTTTATAGATTCCTTTCTAATCTATAAAAATTTCAAGGATATATTTTTGTTATCATAAAATGCTTTGAATTCCTTTTTTTTTTGTCTTTCTATGTTTGGTTCGTAATATGAGAACAATAGAATCCAACTTTACATAAACCCTCCAATTCCTATACATAAACCCTCCGATTCCTATTCTTTTGTTTAGTTTGGAATAAGAAAATTTTGGGATAAATGAATGACAACATCATAGGTAAACTCACCACTTACTAGTGGACAAAATTTGCACAAAACATGAGTTGGGGTAATCTTACCAGTTTGCCAAAATTTCAAAACCTAAAAAATCATGAGTCCAACCACTAGTTCCAAGGTCTTGGAGCATATAAATGTGGATTGAACCCTTATGGTGCAAATGTATCGCTCATTTTTGCCATTATATCAATTCTCATTGTTTGCACGTTTCATTTCCTCCATCAATATAATATCAAAAGAATGCCCTCAAAAATTTAAAGTTTGGTGCGATTGCAATCTCCAAACACCCATGAAAGTGTGCAGGTATGATAAAAATAAGGGGAGATATTATTGGGGGTGTGCAAAGTACTCAAGTAAAGAATGTAATTTTTTTGAATGAGCTCATAAAAGAGGAGAAATAAGCAATCAATGAAACCAATTTTTTTAAATAAAACAAGTTTACAGATAAATATTTTTTGAAATCAAAGAGGTTAAAGAAAGAATTGAAGCTTGTCGAAAAACAATCCTTAACTTGGAAAGTTTTAGCAATTTTAGTAGTGATGTTTTGTATTATTTTAATTATTGCAAACCTCATGTTATGTACTTGCAAAAAATATTGATATTGTAATGAAAAAAAATATTGGAATTTGAGTTTAAAGGAAACTATCATTACAAATTTAGTTGATATTGTATGACTCATAAATAAGTCATTTTGTCAAAATTGATTGCCTAACCTATAACTTATAGGTTATTGTAGATTGCATCTTAATGATAGACTGCCTAACATGGACATTGTCATTTCAATGTAAGCTGCATTCTCATCACAAATTACCTCATCTGAACATAAACACTGTATGTTAGATTGTGTTCTCAGTAAAAGACAATCATCATTACCAAACATCAACTAAAAGCAAAGATAGCAACGGCAAATAACCAACAAAACCCCAACAATTATGCTCAATAAAGCATTAGCAAATAACCAGCAAAACCACAACAAGGAGCAAAAGATAGCAACAACAAATAATCAACAAAAATCCCAACAAGCTGCAGAAGATAGTAGCAGCAAATAACTAGCAAAAATCCAACAAGGAGCAAAGGATAGGGGTAGCAAATAACTAACTAAAACCCAACAAGGTATAGAAGATAGTAGCAGCAACTAACCAACAAAACCTAACAATGAGCAAAGGATAGCAGGAGCAAATAACCAACAAAAACTCAACAAGATGCAGAAGATAGTAGTAGCAACTAACCAACAAAACCCCAACATAGTCCTTGAAGACAACAACACCAGAGAACCAACAAAAAACTCAATAAGGAGCAAAATATAGCAGCTGATAACCTAGCAAGGAGCATCACAAGCTCCAATGTCACGCCCCGCTTTCCAAAATACTAGGGAACCGGAACGGGAACAAGATCGCGATGTATCAGACTGAGGAGAAATAAGTACTAGACCCTTTCTGCTCAATCTAATACGCTAAGCGTCAAGCAATATAATGCGAAGTCACAAGTCCCTGATCACAGTTAGCAAGAATATAATAAACAACTCAGAACAAAATGATCCATATCATAAAAGAAATATCATCCAAGACATAATACTCGGGTCATACATGTCATAATACAAAACTATCCAACTAAATACTGGAGAAAATATAAAAATATATCGATCTAACGGAAATGAAAAGTGCTACAAGGTAAACCAAAGACCAGCAACTAAAAGAAATAACTAAGCTTCGGCTTCTACTCTGTCTGCAAGACATTCCTTCTAAGTGAGTTGGTCATATTTAACTTATAAACCCTTGAGATAGGCCCTTCTATCGAACAAATATGTGCATAATAATCAGTTGGTCTGAATTTTAAGCCAAAGGAAGACGAATTAAGAAGATTCAAATTGATAATTCTCGTATTTAACATGCCGCCAAGCGCCATAAGAACAAGTTTATCTTCCTGAATTGGAGTTAAACTACCATAGAAAATGGAATCATTTTTCAGCATATGCAAAATATGATGAAAGTCTTTTATAGGATCTTTTTTATTATTTACAATAAGTTGAAGTGAGGAAAGAGTATATTTTCCTGTCCTTATTTTATTTTGAATATCCCTAATTTTTGAGACTGTCAACTCATCAAAGATTTCAGTTAGACCATTGTAATATTTTGCAATAGTTGATGCAAGCTGATCTAACGAACACTGTGGATGAATACAATATTTTGCAATAGTTGATGCAAGCTGATCTAACGAACACTGTGGATGAATACTGTAATATCTAGTTGAAAATCTTGTCATTATGCCAGTTTTGATAATCATTCTGCGCTTGGAGAAAGACCTACAGAAAGTAAGACTAGGAATCGCTCGTTTCGGGTCGGTTCCTTGGCCGAGGGGGACCCGTAAGGCATGGGTTTAATACCCTTTCTCCTGCTGAGAATACTCTGGCTCTTGCACATCTCCAAGCTGAACTTGTCCATCATCTAAATCTGACGTATAACCCGAGAGAACAGGAGTTCGTCAGCGTGCATGGCACACGACAAGATCCCACAAGAGAGAATAGAAACGATTGAATAACCAATACAATAAAATAATAATAATAGAAGCATGGCACTGGAATTCTAATAATCTAAATGCAATCCACCACTAGAGTATAATAATCAGAATAATCCAAAAATCAACCAAGTAACGAGGTCAAGCAGCTAGCCATCCTATAATAGATCACTGATCCACATCTCAAATAAAGTCAATGTTCATATTATCAGATAACTGACTGTTCACATCCAGCAGAGAATCAACCAAAAAGAAACAAAAGTAAAATTAGCAAATAATCAACCGAAACCAACAAAAATCAACAAGAAGCATCACAATCTCCATTAGTATCACCACCCACATAACCGAGCATGTAAAAACCCAACAAGGAGCATCACAAGCTCTAGCAGAGAATCAACCACCAAAGCATGTAAAAACCCAACATAGAGCACCACAAGCTCCATCAATATCAATCACCCAAGCATGTAAAAACCCAAACATTGAGCATCATAAGCTCCATCCACCCAAACGTGTAAAAACCCAACAAGAATCACAAGCTCTAACAGAAAATCAACTAAAAAGGAACAAAAGCACCCACATAACCGAGCATGTAAAAAGAAACAAAAAACCGCATGCTAGAGGATTTTATAAAGTTCAAATTATGAACTCATTAGTCAATCCCATCAATATTTCCTTACGTCAAAATTATAAGGATATATCATCATGCATTAGCACTAAATTATAATACAATATGAGAACAAGTAAAAATTGAAAAATAGTACCAATTCTTCAATTATATGCCATCATAAGTTAAAGTATAGAACATTAAAAGCCAAAGAAAATAGTATCAATTCTTCAATCACATGCCATAGATTGCAACATATAAAATTTGCAAATATTAAA